GGCAATGAATGTACAAATGTGCTTTACACAATTGATATATGTATGGATTGTGATGAGTTGTATGAGCCCCTAATAAAACAATTTTTTTAATGTGCTGAAAAACTTGGCTTATACACCAGTATATATGGTAGCTTATTTTATACCAAGCAAGGTGGCAAAATTGACCAGTCTCCTTGTCAAATTCCCAAGATTTTCAAACACAGTTAACCACTCCCAGTCGCTCACAATGGAATGATAAAATCTTATTAGCATCTTCCACGTTCTTTCATCCAGCAAAACTCGGCAGGGAAAGGACATTTGGTGGAAGTTACAAAGACTATGGCTAGAAGAAGAACATCAAAATATTTATTGCACTGCAGGTAATGGATGTTTATAATTCTTAATTCTTAAGAAATTAGGAAAAAAATCGAAAGATATACTGACAAATGACTGATAGCATTGTTCAACTTCATTGATCATAAAAATCATATCTTGAATTAGCAAAGATTTAAAGGAAAGTAATACACAATTGGGCCAGGACTTGTTGAAACAGGTATTGCAGGTAGCACTGGAAATCAGTACCTTGCTGACAAGAATTTTCTGAACCATCTATCAAAACCTTTAAGATGTGCACCTACTTGGGCTAAGTAAGTATATTTCTAGAAAGTTATCAAAATTGCACATCTACATTGGATAGAGTTCATTTCAGCAATGTCCACCAATAAAGGACAGATTAAATGTATGTCATCCATATGACTTAGACATGAGCAACATGGCTGCAAATCAGTTCATATTAGTTTCAGAAATGTTATCTGCATGACTACAAGGTTATCTCAAAATCAGGAGCAGGAAGCAAGGCAAAGCACACTAAGAGTCTGGAACTTCCAGAAAGCATCTGCAAACAGACAGCTACTCCTCGCCAACGTTTTGCTGCGACCTGGTTTTCATCTCTGCTTCTGGGCTTGCTTGCTTGCATAATGTGTTTCTCTGCTAATTGTCTTTCTCTGTACACAAAAAGAGTAGCATCAACTTTTCCTACCCTATCAAATCAAGCACTCTGAGCCAGATTCCAAAATTCCAGTAGAATCTGATTTACTCAGCTTGATTAAATTCTCCGCAACTGGTTCTGTTAGCTATGGCCCTGACCACTCAAAAAAGAGCAGTGGTTCTCAACCTGGGGGTCACGACCCATTTAGGGGTCGAATACCCCTTTCACAGGGGTCTCCAGATTCATAACAGTAGCAATATTACAGTGATGAAATAGCAACAAAAATAACTTTATGGTTGGGGGTCACCACAACATGAGGAACTATATTAAAGGGTCCCGGCATTGGGAAGATTGAGAACCACTGTCTTGAAAGCAAGCTCCGATTGAGAATGATGAGGACAATGAATGTACAAATGTGCTTTACACAATTGATGTCTGTATGGATTGTGATAAGAGTTGTATAAGCCCCTAATAAAATGATTAAAATAAATAAATGAACAAATAAAAAAGAAAGCAAGCTCCAAATAGAAAGCATGGTCAGAAGAATTGCTAGAAAGGAAATGTGTGGTTCAATCCCGGGTTTCGGCACTAAAAAAAAAAAGAAAGGAAATGTGGAAGTGAACTCTGATCACCTATAGTGATACACAGTCGGTGAGATGCTATCAACCTTATAAAATGATGTAGATGATGCTTTGATTAGGAAAGATGTAAAATACATGTTGAGAGAGAAAAGTAGGCTATAAATAACTGTGGATAGTAGTTCGTACCACATGATGTATTTTTATTTTTCACTCACTCAACTTTTTGTTTATTTGTATTATGCACAATCAATATATTCTGGAAGGGCAAATAAAATTATTTTCTTATAAAGATGTGGACAAGCTTATTAGTGGGGTAGGAGATGGGGGAAGTTCTTGCCTGATGGCTCTGAATTAGATAGTGGTGCTCTATGAAGTAAGCATCAAAAGAAATAAGGATTCACAAGCTTTAAGGACTTTTATAAGATGCTTAATATAGCTACTTTTCAATGTCCTGCCTCTTCCTCCAAGAATTGTGCCTAGAAAAAGATATGCACTATACAGGAGAAAATTATTAGACAACGAAAACAGAGCAAAGGGTAATTGAACAACAAAATTAAGTGAAGGTATGTTAATGCCAAAATTAAATAAATCCTTAAACCAACCAGCTGACCAATTCACTGCCATCAAGCCAATTCCAATTCATAGCAACCCAAGAAAGGGTTTCCAAGGCTGTAAATCGTTATTTATTTTGGGGGAGAGGGAGCTGTAAATCTTTAGGAGAGCAAGTAGCCCCATCTTTTTACCATGGGGTGGGCTTGAACAGCCTTTCTTTTGTTAAGGTTCTGTGTAATTGATTGAATCAGATTCGTAGCAAGCAAAGCAAAGGGGAACTATATGTTCACATGATCTATACCGATTTTTTAAAAAAACAAACTGAAAATATCTTCCAGAAAAAAACAAACCAAACTCACTGCTAGCTGACAAGTCTACTTTGACTCGTAGTGACCCCATAGGACAGAGTAGAACTGGCCCGGTGGGTTTCTGAGGCTGTAAATCTTCACCGGAGCAGAAACCCTCTCTTTTTCCCAAGGAGCAGCTGGTGGTTTTAAACTTCTGGCCTTGTGGTCAGTAGCCCAACGTGTAACCCACTGTATCCCCAGAGCTCCTTTTAAGACAAGACCCTCATAAGGAAACAGTGTCTAAGAGTCTGTTACCATTGTGTCTCTTCTCTTTTTGTACACCTTAGGACCATTTTCAAAAACGTACACTCTTATATTCATTAACTCAGTCATTTTTTAAGTCTTACTAAAGTACTGTGAGAAATGGGAGCATTAAGACAACATCCTTGCCCTCGAGGACTGGAGCATCTGCTATGGAAGAAAAATGACTGCAATATATGATAGTGTATCTGTTCTGTAAGGCGACTCATTAGTATCGTTCATGCAAGAATAGCGATTATGAATAACTAGAAATCAAGACAGTATTGAAGGGGGGAAAGTGAGATGGGGTTTCACAGTACATAGAAATACTTTCAACCTGTAGGATCATCGTCACACTGATGGTTACTTTTTCCTACTTATTTGATTCCTGAAAATAACTAACGCAATGTTAGGAGCCCTGGTAGTGTAGTAGGTTACACACTGAGCTGCTAAAAGCAACATCGGCAGTTCAAAACCACCAGCCTCTCTGCAGGTGAAAGCTGAAGCTTTCTACTTCCATAGAGAGTGACAGTCTCAGGAACCCACTGTAGACAGCAGTGCTACTCTGTCCTGTGAGGTTGCTGCTACTTCAGTGTTGCATTACTCAAAAACTCAAACTCAATTGCAGTGAATTTGAGTTTTCAAGTAATGTAACTTTGAAAATGATAAGTGCTATTAAAAAAATTGGGAATCAAGAAAGAAAACTTTTTTCCCTACAAAAGAAAGGGGAGTTGAGGTACCCTTGATCAAGAGTCATTGGTTAAGAATCAGCATTGTAATTAACAAATACATTCAAGAACAAAAAGAATACTTCTCAAATCCCGCCCAACATATTTTCCTACTTGGTAAGCTATTTCTGTTCATCTTTATGGCCCCAATATAACTTTTGATAATGTTGAAAAGTTGTATGAAAACTTCAATTTAGTTGTATTAATGCTGATGTAAAGCCCCCCTTTTTATTAGTAAGTGGATATTATAGTACACCATTCCTGTGTGTTTGGCTGCCCCATACACACACACCTTCCCCCTCCCTGTCCCAGGAGAACTGTCATTGGTACTCTTAGGAAAAAAGCTGGCACTGTAAGAATAAAGATCCCCCTCTCGTGTTGCAGATGCTAAAAACCTGGATGCACGGAGCAGACAGGGACCGCCTTTGCTACCACAAGGTGACTCGTTTGAAATCGAACTAACTGGAAGACGAGGACCAAAGCTTGATGATATGGCTTATGCCTGCCCCTTACCCCTCAGTTAAGTGGACCAATAAACTCGTTTGTCCTTAAGCTTGGGCATGTTATTTACTCCTCCAAAGAGGAGCCTTGACCACTCAATAGTTAAGAGTTCAGCTCTTCACTTAAAGAACCTATTAGTCACCCGCACAGTGGTGGAAGATGTAGCAGATCACCTCCGTAAGGGTTACCTATGGCCTTGGAGACCCTACAGGTCAGTCAAATGCTGTCTAATAGAGTCAGATTCACTCAGTGGCAATGGCTTTGTTTTGGGTTTTGTTTTTTAAATAAATGTGTGATAGTTAGGTTTATTGAGCCAACCTAGCCAATAGGAACATGTGGGATTAACCAGGTGGCAGTTTGATTGGAGGGCAAAGAGATAAATGGCTTGCCAAGGCCCGCCCTTCTCTCTTGCTTTCTGATGATGGGACCAGCTTGAGGCTGCTTTAACTTGTGAGCTCCGCCACCTGTGGGACAAGCCAACCCCTGTCACTAGAGCTTGAGGTTCCTTCAAGACCTACTTCATCACAGTGCTGGTGTGCACTTGAGCTTGAGGCTGGTGGATCCTGTTGTCTTCGATTGCTTGAGTTCGAGATCCCCTCCTGAGCTGCTGACTGTTGGTGAGCCACCCTGCTGTTTGCTGCCTGTGGGCAGACTCTGCCTGCATTGCCCTGTGGAAGACTCAGCTGTCTGCTTCCTTGACCTTGGACCCAGCAGCCTTCTGAGTTGAAGGACTTCCAGTATATTAACTGTTGCACAGAAGTGAGTTAAACTGAGCCCTCTGTACTGCTGTGTGGACTAATTAACTGTTCTATTCCTTTGTGCTATATAAACCTATCCGTGTGTGTGTGTGTGTGTGTGTGTGTGTGTGTGTCCTAGTTTTGTTGCTCCAGAGAACCCTGCCTAACAATACGGGGATGGTATTTCTAATCAAGATAAGAGTAATTCATTAAAGTATATCAAGAGCTATATTTGAGTGGTTGGGGAAGAGGAACTAGAGTTTTTCATACCAGAATACAGTCTAAATGAATTGGAATTAGGTAAGTGCCTTAAGTGTGATTTTGACCCAGCTTCTATGATTCTAAAACTTTAGATAATAAGAGACTGTACTTATATACATATGTATGTTAGGATAAACATGGATAATATATCATTAGAATATTAAAAGATAGTATGTATGGCTGAATAATTAAGGTATGACATAGCCCACATTCTTAAAGGGGCAATGTGACCACCTGAAAGCAGGTATGAAGTTCAGGTCCTAATTAATTGTGTTGGCAACCTTGTTGAAAATCAATTAAGCATATATGTAGTGGTTTATTTCTGGACTTTAAATTTTATCATTGATATATGGAGCTCTGGTGGCATCTTGGGTTACACATTGAGCTGCTAACCACAGGTCAGTAGTTCGAACCCACCAGCTGTTCCACAGAAGAAAGATGAGGCTGTATATTCCCATAAAGACTGAAAGACTTGGGAACCCAAAGGGGCAGTTTAATTCTGTCTTATGGGGTTACTGTGAGTCAGAATTGACTCGATGCCATGAGGAAGGGGTTGTTTTTGCTTAGGACCTATATGTCTATCCTTATGCCAGTACCACACTATCTTGAATAATGTAACTTTGTAGTGAAATTTAAATATAGGAAATGTGAATCTTCCGATGGAGATCTTTTTCAAAATTGCTCTGGCCTTTCTGTTTTGCTATAACAAACAAACATGTTTTCTTGCTGTTTATGAAGCTACAAGTCTGAATTCAGGGCACCAGCTGCAGGCTAAGTTTTTCTCTGTTGGCTCGAGTAAGGTGGCTTCTTCTTTCACCTCGAATAAGGTGAGCCTGGCATTTATTGAAGCTCACTCCCCATGTGTCTTGGAATCAATCTTCCCCTGAGTCTAGTCAATCCAAAGGTCATGTTCCAATCCTGGCTCTAATGTCTTGGTGGTACCAAACTCCCTCCCTCTTTGCTCACTTCCTCTCTCATCTCTTTTAGGAAAAAGGTGCTACAGACCATACCTTTGATCCTTTGTGTTAGATCAGGGCTCTGTTCTAGCTATTTGTGTGTTTGTTTTAAAGTTTTTAAAATTTGTTATTATATATAATTCACATACCAGACAACTTAATGGTTTAAATATATTTTAAAGAATTGTGTAATCATCCCCTCAATCAATTTGAGACCATTTTCTCCCTTTTTTCCCAATAGTTTTATTGGTACATAATTTACATATCATACAATTCAATAGTTCAATCATTCAACCGTATCAAGGGGCCTTGATATCAAGGGGCCACAACATCAGTCATAGAGCATCTTCCCACCTCATGGGTAAATCACCTTTAAAATGAGTTGTGCAATCCCAATCAGCTCTATTGCTCCCTCCTCAATCCTGCCTTCATCATTCTTTTCTTAGTTTTAAAGCATATACTTCACATATCATACAATTTAATCATTCAATCATATTGAGAAGATTTGTGCATGTGTTAGGCA